TTATCCGCACTTTGGCAACAAGATTTTTTTTTATTTTTTTTAAATATAAACTACAGTTTAAATTATAAGTGAGGGAGTTTTATCACACACACAATCAAGATACCATGCGGGTTCGAATTTGAGATCTTTTGTATGCAATTCAATGCCATTTTTCACTAGACTAGACCCAGGTATGCATTGGCAACAAGATTTTCTATATATACAATAAAATGAGTTTATTATTATTATTCAAAGAAAGAAAAAAAAAAAAAAAAAAAAAAAAAAAAAAAAAAAAAAAAAAAATTATTTTTCACTCGACCAATGACAATGAGTTAAGCTAGCTAATCTTTTAGACTTTCAAGCGCAGTCCATCGATCTAATGATGTAACCCTTCATTTAGCAACAATATACATAAATGGTGAGGTGAGCTCCAACTCATTAGTGTCTTGCTTCTTCCTTCTATATGGGGACAACTTTTACACATGGGAAAAAGAAATGTTATTGAAAATGTTTATTCTCTTTCACTTTCATCTTCCTCCTTTCCTGCCCTTTATTTATTTTCATTTTACTTTTTGAAGCAATTTCGTGTTGTTGTTGTTTATATGGTTGCAGTGGTGGTGGACCAAATTTGAACAGGACGTGACAGTGAGCAGTGTAAACATGTTAGGCATTGAAATGAAAATTCTCGATCGAAAAAATGGGAACCTTTAGTTTGGTCTGCATGAATGTGACAAGAACAGCAAGTGGGCTTATTTACTTTTCCTCCCAAAGATAAGCCTACAATATTATTACGTCCAATCAGCATTGGAGTTGAGTGGATGAGCAGTGGGAAACCCTTAGTAGGGCCATTTTGGTTTATCATAGCCTTTGGATTTATCATAGGCAGTTCCTATTAGTGAAAAAATCTTTATAACGGGAATTACACTGTTTTGCTATATTTTAGAGGTAAAAGAAGTGGCCACTTCCTATTATCTACTCACCTATACCACATTGCTGATATAATTGCAAAAGGTGAGTGAGGTCAATAGTATATAAAAGTGATAGTCTAAACTATAAGGGAATGAAGGTTTCTTACACATACAATATAAAGGTGTCATGGAGGTTCGAACTTAAGACTATTAGTTTGCAAGTCAAGACCCTTTTTCCATTGGTTGGCAGTGAGGTGAGAGTTTAAATGATACTAATAGTTTCCCTAAAACACTTTATAAACCCAGACTAGGTCCCTTAACATTTCAATGTGGGACAAACACTCTCAACACGCCCCTGCACATGTGGGGAACTTTCAAGCCTAAGTGGACAACACATATTGGGTGACGTGGGAGCACGTGTGGCTGTTGGGCCCAATACATGAAGCCTTGCTCCGATACCATGAAGGAAGTTGAGGTTCCACCTCAAGATCAATTGGCAATGGGGGAAGTAGCCCAACTCTTTATAAACTCAGGCTAAGTCCCTTAACCTTTCAATGTGGGACAAACACTCTCAACACCTGAAACACACTTCTAAAAAAACACTTATAAGACATTGTTTTCTGTTGAAGTAGTCTTAAACAAACTCGTACTCATTCATATTTTCTTTAAATTTTAGTTATAAACTATAATCTAGTCCCCTTTTAACTGTAAATTAAGTATGCCTATATGATTTTCCTCATTGGACGATCAATATAATTTTAATCAACAAGCCGAAATCCATTTTTCTCAACCAAGAAATAAAGACGAAAGTTGGTCTTCTAATTTCCCTATGATCAAGGAAAAGGTGGAGAATGGTGGTTGGTGGTTGGTGTTGGTGGGACTAGAACCCTAGTGGCAATGTATATGAGGCCATAATTTCCAATAAAAGGCACTTGGATTGGATGTTATGAGTAAGAAGATCGTTACCACGAAACATATAAGACCAAGTTTTTGCTCAACCACTCCTACCCTTGATTTGGACTTGCTCATAAACCTTATTTCTTTTCTCTTTATTCTATTTTATTTTATAAATATCATAAACGTTATTTTCCTTTTTTCAATGGACCTTGGGGTACATTCCAAATTCATAAGCAACTTATGGTGGATGGTTGTGGATATGTGACCCATCATATATGAAGTTGTGATCAACCAGTGCTTGGGGACCAACTTTTTAAACGTCAGCATACCATATATTCATATCGAATTTTGGATCATATTGTTTGAGATAACCAAATTATGGCAGCATCCATTGTCCTTTCTCATAGATAATGCATCTATTTTGTCCATTATCCTGGATAATGCATCTATTTTTATTTATTTTTCAATTTTCGTATGAAATCGTGAAAAATTTATGGATACAATAAGGATATCACCATCATAACGAGGTGGTATTTATGTGAGAAAAGATATTCTTTATAAGACGTAACCGTTTCATAAGATTATGTTTTTTTTTTCTTCACAATTTATAAAATAAGTGCCCTTTTTTGTCTGTAAATATGATAAAGTTAAATGAGGTTTATTGTTGATGGCATTGAACTATACCATAAAGGAAAATAAGTTAGGTTTAAAATAGAAGAATAAGACACAACACACACCTCAATGGAATAGCATTCCTAGTAAATAAATAATCACAACAAAGGGGAACCCCAAAAAAAGTGATGAAAGAGCAATCATATCCAACTAGGAAAGAGGAAACAAGGGTTAAATTATGCAGAAGTAGCCATTCCAGGGTGTCTGGAACAGGAAAGTCTTGGCTTTGGCACTTGGAGCTTAATGCTCGTCTTGTATATTATGCCGTTTGTTTGATGAGAAAATCTATGACTGATCAGTCCTAGTTTACATTACATAATGGAAGATAGTTTTAATTAGATTAATAAAAATATGAGCACAGAGAGCAATGTATCCTTAATTAGACCAAGTTGTTTATTGTCGTTTTTGGAAGCATGGGGAGAGAGAGAGTGAGAGATTTTGACTGATGTGATGTTTATGGTGTTCTCCACGTCTGGTCTGCATTATTTTAAGTTTGGCTGGGAAATGACCGAGTCTTCAAGAATCAAAGCTTCGGCTAGCTCTGTAGCTCAAGGCAACCCAAGTGTGTGAGTTCAAATCAATCATGAATTTTTGGCTAGTTTTAGAAATCAATAATGCTTTTTTACCATCTTTATTGACCATTTTACTGATTAACTTTTTAATAAAGACGGACCCTATCTACAGATATGAAATCATACCGAACTAAAGAGGTGGTCAGTAAAAGTAATACAAATAACGGCGCCATTTAGAAATAAGGGTCAGTGGTCTTCAAAATACAATTTCTAGAAGAGACTGGGTAAGAATTTCACTAATCAATGGAGGACTAAAATAATTATAGATAAGATTAAGGGTCGCAATTGTTTTCTTAATTTTGTCAAATAAGATAGAACCCACAAAGTATAATATGATATTGTTTAGGTGTTATTCTATGTCAGAGAGGTGGAAAATGATTGAGAAGAATAATGCAGTGCTAATTGGTTAATGCATTAAGGAAGACCCAACCAGAAATTGATTCATGCATTTAAGCTAATGGATGGATATATGCAACATAAATTGTTCCCATTGTAGGAATCCATCAGCCATATTATATCATCATCTTGTATCCTCTTGATTGGTCACAGAATATCCTCACAATTTCTGTTCATATTGTGCCAACCTCTCTTGTGCTATTGTAACAAAAACTCTAGTTTAGTTCGATCAAGATACATGGAAGCAAACATCCACAAGACAAACAACTAAGGCTGGATTTATTGGGTGATATGTGAGAGCACGTGTTACTATTGGATTTAACCCGTGAATAATTGTTGTATTAGAATTAGAATATTTAATCCAAAATCAATTGAAAATGAGTAAAGAGTCTCAATATCATTTAAATTATTAATGCAAAACTTCCATCTTCGATGTGAAATACTCTATACAATCTGAGTCTCTTAAATTGTCTCCACAAAGTCACAAGCATCATAATCCAGACATGATATATTTAGTATGCAGCATGGATTCAATGTGTCGAAAAAAGCATTAAGGCAAAGTTTAGAAGCATCCTTATTAAATGGATTTAGTCTTGGTTTATACAAACAAGGAGTTGAGGAAACAAATCCAAAACCACTTTGGAGAAAGAGACTTTTACCCGACCAGCGAATCGGCACTTGTAACTTCTTTGTTAGTGGTAATGAAAATGAAGTATGAACTCACAAATATTCGAGTTACTGAGCTAAGAGAAACCTGTTTCATAACAGTAGATATCCAATCCAATGATTGACTCAAAAGCAATAGGCACTCTAGTTTCTGGGTTGGGTTACTCGGAATTACAATTGCAATCCAAAAGCAAAACAAAAATAGGTCTGAGTTGGTCAATTTCTTAGCCCAACGACATCCGAGTTTAAGTCCACACATCTGTAACTTTAAATTTTATTAATTGGTTGCTTCTTTAACCCCTCCATTTCATGTTGAATGTATGAATCAACAACCTTAAGAGTTGAAAGACACCATGAACCTTAATATTAATTATTTTAAGTGCTCAGTCTTTAACCACTCGAGCTACAAATTTTTTGTTGGTTCATTATTCTTCTAATTATTTTCTTCGTGTGTGCATGTACCTATCGTATGAATTTTATAATTTTCACTCACATCGAATGCATCAATTTTGTTTTTCACCTGGGATACTTTATAATTATTTAATAAGTAAATTGGAGTTTATGGCACTTTGCAAATTGGTGTCCATAGCAGTTGGTCAAGGGCCAGCAAGAAAGAACAATATGGTGATCTCAAAAACTTGTTAGACACCAAACTTCATTTTTATTCACTCCATCCTTCCTTTGCAACAAAAAAGTGACATCTTCACCTTTTACCAATTCAAAGAAAGTTGGTAAAGTAAGAAACTACCACCAATTATTCTACCGCATCATCAAGTTTGTTTTCACTAGTAGCAGTTCTGCTTTTTTTGCAAATCTCAGTTGCAGCTGATGTCTTCTCTCAGTTATTGTTGCAATCGAGTCGACAAATTTCCAAATCAATAAAGCATCATTCTTGTGCAGAAAAAACAGCCTAAGTTGCTTCATAGGCCAAGGGTTGGCCTAGCAGACGGATATTGGGAGAGGTAGTGTTGCTGGGACTGCAGGGCTGCAATTGAAGGCGTAGAATTTGAAACAGGCGAGCACCTGCTACAGCTCCAATTGTTGGGCCACAAATATATATCCATAGGTCTTTGAAGTTCCATGCAACAATTGCAGGCCCCAGTGACCTTGCTGGGTTCATTGACCCTCCTGAAACAGGCCTGCATTAATGCATACCGGTACTTAGTTTCCATGTTTGGAGGAGGTCCGAAGTTCAAATCTCATAGACGACAATTGTTGTATAGATGGAAAAATGACAAGTGGATTGAGAAATTAAAATTAATGTAATTGCTGCATTTATATTGTTAGTATATATAGACCTACCCTGTGATGAGCACAGAAAGTCCAATGGCAATGCCAACTACAAATCCAGACAAATAGCCAACCTGCAAAAAAAGTTCCAAATGGTGGACATAAGAGCACCTTATAATTTATAAACCAACAAAGAAGTTGGGTATGAGATTGGACGTTTCGACCCGAAACTCTGATAGTATGTTAGATAACAATAAGAACCCCAAGCGAAATAAAAAAAAGATGGAAGTTTTTTTCTTACAGCATGAGCTTGATGTGTCAATGAAGCAGCTAGGAACATAATCATGAAAGTAGCAATAAGCTCAACCCAGAAGGCAGAGGCAGAGCTTTGAATTGGTCTGGTGGTCATGAGATCTGGTTTTATGCCATAGACAAGCCTCCCAATGTATGTTGCCAGAACAGAACCCATTGTTTGAGCCAATATGTAAACAGGAACCTTTTGAAATAATAGGGAACAGGAACAACATTAATCTGCTGCTTAAACACCCTAATTAAATATAATTAGAGCTGAGGATTTCATTAGGGTTGAATGGTTTAAGTACCCTGCACCATGGAAAATGACCAAAGGTTGCAAATGCTACTGTGACAGCTGGGTTGACATGAGCACCAGAAATTGACCCTATGGAGAAAATAACTACTACTACAGTTAAACCTGCTGTGGCTGCATACTCCATAAGACCAACTTCCCCTCTCATCAGCTGTGTGCTTGCTATGATCCCACATACGCAGAACATCAACATAAAAGTCCCCACCATCTCTGCAAAAACCTGCTTAACATATTTATTAGAGTACAAGGGTTTTAAAATGTTTTGTTAACCTAAATGTGTACATGTTGTTGCAGCAGTAGTTTTTGTTATTGTTAAGAATATTACACCACAAAGCTCATAAAAAAAGTTGAAAGGTTTGATCGTTTCTCACCGCGCGAACGAGATTTAGATCCATTTGGAATGGGAAACAGAAGAAGGCTGAGTTGTTCAAGACCTCTCCCTCATCCGACATTGCATTAGAGCCCATTTCTTGATCATCTTTATTAGAATGGTCACTAGTTGATGTGCAGTTTGAAGTTTGAGGAGATGGAACAGAAATTTCATCTTTAGAAAAGGCTTTCATGATCAAGCTACAAAGTTATTTGCAGATAAAAATGTTTTGAACCGAGTCTTTATTGGCCTTGAAAAAGCTAGAGGTGCAAAGAACATGTACTCAATAAAGCTGCATTTACAAGGAGAAGTTTGTTGTGCACGCAGTTTTGACTCTTTTAAAGGGCTTTGGAGGTTCGTTTGGAAATAGAAATTTGGGTCTTCAACACAATTCTTGTGTTGCTCTTAAAAAAAGTGGACTAGTTTGTGCTTGTTACCAATGTCACCTCTAAAAGTTGAACCATTTTTGCCCCAGAATCTACAATTCTGGTTGCTTTCTGTTTTACTTTTCCCCATCAAAATTTTCTTACTTTTTCCCAAAAGGAAATGGGAACATCGACCTCTCCAAAATCGACATTTGGGACAAGAAGTTTGCTGATAACGCGAAACAACTTGGCCGTTGGTGATGGGCTTAGAAAATCATTTGCAACGCTTTTGTTTTTTGGGTCAAAGGAGAAATGTGGTCTTTTTATTTGGGCCAAGGGAAAACTATTTCTTAGACAATCAGCTTTCAGCTTTTCTTTCACATCTCGAAATAATATTAGGCCAACAAATGGCCAGCTTTGTACTTGCCAACTAATGCAAAGGGTAGTGGGGTAATTTGATAATTTATCATCTTTGTTGTTTGATTTTTGGAAGGGTTAATTGTTCTATTAGTCTCTGAACTTAGACCCGATTTGCATTTGAGTACCTCAATTTTCAAAATAGTTCCTATGGTCCTTTAATTTTAGTTTCATTTGCACAACTAATCCCACCATTACTTCTGTCAAATTTTTCTGTTAAATGCAGGGGCAAAATGGTATTTTTATATTAAAATAAATAAAAAAGAATAAAAATCATATCTTTAAAATAACTATAAAAGAAAATACCATAAAAAACCAACAAAAAGAAAAAAGAAAAATCAAGTTTGGGGGGAGTAGAAATCGGGATAGAGGGGAAAAGGGAGAGTTTAATTTTAATTTTTTAGTTTTTTTAAATTTTTATTCATATTTTAATCAATTTTGATACAAAAATACAATTTTGCTCGTGCATTTAACAGAAAAGTTAACAAAATTGAGGGGAGGACCATTTGTCCAAACGAAAGTGAAGTTAAATGACCACGAGAACCATTTCGGAAATTGAGGTACTTAAATGCAAATCGGGTCTAAGTTCAAGGACTAATAAAACGATTAACCTATTTTGGAAATTGAAATGAAATTACTATATTGTTCATCTCCCGGTCTCTCCTTTCCAATTTTTTTCTTCTTCATTTGCTAGAAAATTTATGTTATACTTATCTCTTATTTATTTATTTTTATAATTCCTTGGTGCCCAAACAGGTAAAAAAGGAAAGAAAGAAAGAAATATATATATATTTATATATATTTGACTTTTACAAAAATCTGATTGGGCTTCTTTTGCATTCCATTATCTGTGTTGGGCCAAGAATTAATCTGGACTTAGCCCCTTGGATTTTGGGCCTCAACAATGGTATTAACAATGTACTTCTATGACATGGTATTACTATCAACAATGTACTTTTGTGACATGGTATTAACAATGTACTTCGAGTTTGTTGTGCTTGTTTTGGGTTTTTTTTTGGAGTTTTTTTGTGTTGGGTTTGTTTTAAGTTAATCAGTGACAGTCATGTAATTTATAGGAACTTCAACATTTATTTCTTATGTAGTAAACGATTTTTGGGTATGTTTCTAAAGTGCATTTCATATGGGTTTTGTTTTTGTTTATTTATTTATTTTTATTTATTGTAATTTCAGCCCCTATTTTGGGTATATTACTAAAGCTCCCTTGAAAATTCTCAATCTGAATTTGAATATCAGTCAGTGTCACAAACGGTATTATTAATGATGCTTTATTTGTTGACGTGACTTGTGACTTTCCTTGCACACTAAGGATTCATATATTAATTGTAATTGATTTTCTATGGTAAATAGAATTAGTTTTTTTTTTTTTTTTTTTTTTTTTTTTTGGCATTCAAGAGAAGAATACACAGAAAATTTCCACAAACAATATTCTATCATAAATTTCATATTTTAGCCTTATTTTCTAAAAATAAACAATTTGCAACCCAATATGAAGAAACAAATAACCTCACATAATTTGATATCCAAAATGTAGAATTTGTTTTACTGCTCTATATTTGTTATTCATATATATATATATATATATATATATATGTATATACATACATATGAACCATTAAGTCACCTACATTTTCATCAACACAATTTCTTACGAAGTTAAAAGTGTGGTAAGTTTTTCTTTTTGTGGTTTCCCAAGGTATCCCCAAGTATGGCCCAGGCCTAATCTTTCGAGGTACACTGTCGGGCGTATATGCAGGGAGCTCTCTCAAGAAAGTTTTCTGCATCCACAAAGGCTCGAACCCGAGACCACTTGCTTAAGTAAGTGTGGTAAGTTTTTCATTGCAATTGGCGAACCAAAGACATCGAGAAACAAACAGCCTACATGAGGTTTTCACTTGGTTAATTATTAACTTATTAAACAAACAAACAAAAAACAATATAAACACAATAATTAAATCACAGCAGAAGATGTGAAGTTGAAGTTAGCACAACTTGTCTCCCGAGACAAAAGTGATGAGCTGAACCCAAGCCTCTTGTTAGCCAGATCAAACTGAAGAAGATTGTCCTCCAACTGATGCCCTCCGATCACAATCGACGTCATTGGGCTCTCAAATGAGTAGCGTTGCCTTTGCTCAGCACCCACAAACCCCAAACACAACACATCCTTGCTCACTTGCACCATGGAATTTGCTCCAGACACCCTCTAGTACACACCCTCACTTTGCAACACAAAGTCAATGCTAGGAACAGCAGGGCCCACACATGTAATTCCAATGTGGGTTGAGTCAAAGCAAGTTCCAAAAGGCTCTACAGAAGCCACTCTCTTAATATGACCAGGCATTTCTTTCACAAACGCATCAACAAAAGCTTTGTAGATTGTGCTCTCCAAAACGGTGTAAGGATTGACGGTGCTGATTTTTGTGCCACCATAACCATTTTGATCAATCGCTAGCAAAAAAGTATTTAGTGACACGATTTTTTCGTTGACTTTGATTGACTTCGCATTTATGAAATATTCGGCAGAGGGTTCATCCGGATCAAAAACATAGCCTGTGCTGACAGGGTTGAGGATCAACTTGGTGAAAGTCAACGACTTATACACATCAATCTTGGGAGTCAGAACATACGGCCCATCCCCGAAGAAAACAACACCGTATGATCTAGCCGAAGAAGGCAAGCAAATGGCGAATTTTCTAGGGAGTTTATAAGCGGAGGCAAACTGCGTAGGGAGAGCGATTCTGGTTCTGCCTAGACCAGCCATGCCCTTGACACCATTGACAAGGCCAAGGACACCGTAAAATGTATTGCTACTACAAGCGAAGATGAAGTTTGGAATGTTAGAGACCTTTGGGCCGGAGTGGGACCCATCTGTGGAATGTAGGCGCCACAGGATGTCCTGACCAACCTCGCCGTTGTTGTCGGCATAGCCAATCACGGTGTTGTCTGGGAAGAGGATGCAGGTGCGGTTGTTGCAGCCTGGCCTTTGGGGGAAGAAGCATTCCCAGTTGCATTCTTTGGAGTTTGCAATGGAGCATTGTGTTGTGTTGCAGTAGGCAGGCTTGTAGGTGGACGAGATGTACTGGCCTTCGTTGCAGTCAACCCAGAGGAATTGACCACCGAGGTCAACGGTTAGCTTTAGGGTTATCGGTGGGGTTCTTTGCTTGAAAGTGGTGATGTATTGGAGGGTAGAAGCGTCTTTGGCTATGGGAAGAACTAGGGCTTTGGGTTTGAGTGATGATGGTTTGGCTTGTGATGAGAGGATCATGTGGATCGAGAGTAGAAGGGAGCAAAAGAGAAGTAGGCTATGAATAGATGAGGAAGCCATTGTTATGTGTGAACTCAATAATCAATGGAAGTGATCAGATTGATGAAGTGGGAGGAGGGCCTGTCCATTTATAGGTGTTTCAACTCTTAATAAATAAATAAAAGTCCTAATATGTATCATCTCATGCATGTTGCCGCACAAAGTCAAATAATCCTCTGTTCATAAGCTATAGCATAAGTTCAAGGCATTAGCAGCAGCAAGCTCAAAGTCTTTGATATTGAGTCAAGTCAAAGAGTTTTAAAGTTGCACATAGTGGGCAGGTGTCATGTGTTGAGTGGTTCATTAGTAGGTTAATTTTCAGTTTTGGTTTTTATTAATCAGTTCCATATTGAAGTGGAGAAATTATAGAATACTAAGCCTCTTGTGGAATATTGGACTCTTGTATAGTTATTTGTATTTGTAACGGCTCTTGTAGCTGACGTCTTAATGCCTGGATCTGGATATTGTCTTTATTTAAAAAAAATTAGGCTGTCGGTTGGCGGGTTATTTATAAATGAATATTATGTAAGCATGGCTCTTCGGCTGGGCGAGGAGTCTAAAACTAGAATATGGTTTAGGTTTAGGATGGCAACTTGAGAATGTATCTTTCTTACTATTTTTGTCTCTTTGACTTTGAATTTCATGTTAGTCGTCCTTTTTTTATTATTTAATTATATCATTAGTTATTTCCCAAACCATTGAATTTGTCAACTGAAATTCATTATTGAGAAAAGATAGAATACAAAGGATCCAGTATCAGACAATAATTATCCTAACAAGTGTGTAATTGTAATTGTCTGCATCGTATATATATTGGATAAAAAGCAATCAGGAACATTTATTCACCATGCAAAAGACAAATAAATAACAGAAATTGAATAATTAAGAAGGCCCTTTGTCTCTAAGCAGTAGATGTGAAGTTGAAGTTGGCACAAGTTGTTCGACTGAAGAAGAGTGAGGAGCTGAACCCAAGCCTGGAAGCAGCCAAATCAAACTGCAGAAGATTGTCCTCCAACTGATGCCCTCCGATCACAATTGAAGTCCTTGGCCTCTCACCTCCATCCACAAACCCCAAACACAGCACGTCATCGCTCACCGCCACCATGGAATTTGCTCCAAACACCCTCCAGTACACACTCTCACTCTGCAACACTAGGTCAATAGCAGGCACTGCAGGCCCAACCCTTGTGCTTCCAATGTTCTTCGAATCAAAGCATGCTCCAAATGGTGCTACTGCCTTCACTCTTGGGATTTCAGCAACTGTTTTCACAAATGCATCGACCACGGCGTTGTAGATTGAGGTCTCCAAGACTGTGTATGGATTCACAGTGCTAATCTTTGTGCCGCCATACCCTTCACTGTCAATTTTCAGCAATGAAGTGTTCAAAGCAACGGCCTTATCACTGATCTTGATTGACTTCACATTGATGAAGTATTCTGTAGAAGGCTCTCCTTGGAAGTAACCACTTGCAGTGCTAACAGGGTTGAGGATCAATGGGGTGAAAATAAGTGACTTGGAGACATCAATTCCGGGAAGCAGACTATAAGGCCCGTCCCCGAAGATGACAATACCATTAGAATTTGAAGAGGACAAGCAAATTGCAAATTTTCGATGGAAGCTAAAGGCTGAAGAAAATTGGGAAGGAAGCCCAATTTTAGCCCTGCCAAGGCCAGCCATGCCCTTGACACCATTGGCCAGGCCATCCAACAGAAATGTGGAACCACAAGTGAAGAGCAAATTGGGGACAGAAACAACCTTACCAGGAGTAAACCCATCTGTGGATTGGAGTGACACAATGTCCTGGCCAAGGTCACCGCTCGTGCCGGTTCTGGTGACGGTGTTATCGGGGGAGAGACTGCATGTGTTGTTGTTGCATCCTGGCTTGGGGGAAGAGTAGCACTCTGTCGTACACGCCTTGGAGTTTGACAATGAGCACTGGGCAGAGTTGCAACGAGCAGGCTTGTAGGTGGATGAGACGTAGCCTTGTTCGCAGTCAACCCAAAGGTATTGACCGCCAAGATCGACAGTGAGTTTTATGGGGACAAGAGGGGTTCTTTGGCTGAAGGTGGTGAGGTATTGGAGAGTGGAAGGGTCTTTGGTGACTGGAAGAACAAGGGCCTTGGGTCTGAAAGATGCAGCTTTGGCTAGTGAGGGGGTGGTGGTGATGATTTGGAGGACCAGTGAGCAAAAGAGAAGGCAATGAAATGAGGAAGCCATTGTTGCTGGCTTTGTTGGATGTTGATTTGTAAATCAATGGGAAATGGAACTGATGGTTGAAGAAGAGGGAGGGCATGCCACCAATTTATAGGTTTTTGAAGTGTTAGAACATTTTTGACCAAAATACAGAAGTCTGTGAGTTCGAAGTGAAGAAGCCACGTTTGTCAAAGATGGCGATTTTGGATTGTTATCTATCTATGTGCCTAATGCCAGCTCGATCCGCGGTTTCTTTTATTTTTCTGCTGACCCTGCTGAACACAAGTTGGTCATTGTCTTTATCTTTGAATTTGATGTTCATTTGTCGTATTATATTAATAAGGATAAAGTGAGAATATTAATATTATTAGGTAAAGTTTTGGTGGAGTCTCAAAAGCAACCAAATAGAATCAATCTAATTATTTATAGTTATTTCTTCGTCTTTTTGTAGAGAATTTATAATGAGTATGATGATCAATATTAGTGCTAATATCTCACTTGTTTATTACATTCACACTTCATAAGGTTTTTCATATTTTCATAAATAATAATATTATTTGTACCATATTTATTGACCACCTTTTTAATAGAGGTGGTCCTACCTATATTAAAGAAGTGATCAACAATATGATCAATAAATATGATCCAAATAGAAATAAACTATTTAGATATCCCCTAAGTTTTAGATTGTTTCCCATAACCTTTTTTTTTATATCTAAATTCCTTCTCAAAATTGATAAAATCCGCAGAAAAGTTCTCTAAATAAGTTCTCTAGATGAAAATTTTGCTTTTACAGACAAATTGCAAAAGGTCCTAAATAGTTTAGAGAAATAAACTAACCGGTATGAATATATGTATGAAATTACATATCACGCACAGCGAGACTCGAATATTGATAGGGTTATACACAGTGCAGGGACCTTACTAACTGAACCAACCTCGTTGGCTTCTAAAACACATTTTAGCTACAAAATGCAGATCTTCCCATTGCGATCTAGATCTGCGAATTAATATTTTTGTTATATATATTTGGAGAATGATGGGTTTGCGTCAAAAGCAGTCATGTTCACCATTTATTTATCACGTAAATATACATGAACATCAATGCTAAAAACAATGAAAAACCACAGCCTGGCCAGCTATAGCCGTACTAACTCTAAGCATTGGAAGTGAAGTTGAAGTTAGCACAAGTAGTTTGTCTGAACAACAATGAAGAGCTGAACCCGAGCCTCTTGTTAGCCAAATCAAACTGCAGAAGATTGTCCTCCAACTGATGCCCTCCAATCACAATCGAAGTCCTTGGCCTCACACCACCATCCACAAACCCTAAACACAACACGTCCTTGGCCACCTGAACCATGGAGTTTGCACCAAAGAACCTCCAAAACACTCCCTCGCTCAGCACAAGGTCAATGGGTGGCACGAACGGACCGACACGTGTGCTGCTAATGTTCTTGGAGCTGAAGCAAGCTCCAAAAGGTGCAACAGATGCCACTCTTGGGACGCGGGGGAGTTGTTTCACAAATGTTTTAACCACCGCTTTGTAGATTGAGGTCTCCAAGACTGTGTAGGGCTTCACGGTGCTAATTTTCGTGCCACCATAGCCTTCTGCGTCAATGTTTAGCAACGAAGTGGCATTGAATGAAACAACCTTGTCGTTGATCTTGATGGACTTTACTTGGATGAAGTAATCTGTTGAAGGGTCTCCTACAAAAGAAGCACCCGCGGTGCTTACGGGGTTGAGGATCAATTTCGTGAAGGTGAGTGACTTAGTGACATCGATGCCGGGGAGCAGAACATAAGGCCCGCCTCCAAAGAACATCGCACCGTATGATCTTGGTGAGGAAGACAAGCAAAGGGCGAATTTTCTTTGGAAGCTAAAAGCGGAAGCTAGTTGAGAGGGGATTCCAACTTTGGACCTACCAAGGCCAGCCATGCCCTTGGCACCTTTGGCTAGGCCATCCAAGAGAGATGTGTCACCACAACTGAAGAGGAGGTTGGGTGTGGAAACAAGCCTACCAGGATTGGACCCATTTGTGGAATGGAGGGACACAACATCTTGACCAAGTTGACCACCACCGGTGAGCGTGGCAGCAAACGGGTTATCGGGGAAGATGTTTGTACCTCAAAGGGTAAAATCGACACAATAAAAAGAGTAATAAAAGTCAAAGGACCTACATCTAAAACCAAAAACGCGTGAACTAAACCCAATGACAGCTAATCATTTTGGACATAAATCTAAGAACCCCTAAGAATTAAGAGCACTTCCACCACAAAGGGGTTGGGCAAGCAACAAGCAAACTGGGGCCCCAGGACCCAAAAAACCCCTCCAGTGCGCAAGGTCCAGCCCGGGCAAGGGTGGGACCCACCAACCAAGGCAAGCCCATGGGCAAGAATCGTCTAGCCTGTGGCCTGAAGGCTGCTGACATCACAGTTGACAGAAACCAACAGGAAGAAGCCACGTGATGCTTCTCATACGCTCCAATCATGGATTTCTGAGAAATCCAACGGGTGCAATTTTTTTGCCTAAAAAAATTCTGATTTTTTTTCCTATAAATACCTTCCAATCTAATTCACTTTCCACAACAAATCTTCATACAAATTCTTATCCTTCAAATATTTTTCACTTTCCACACCAAATATTTTTCTCCTTAGGGATTTTTTAAAAATAAAAAAAATTCTGAATTTTTTTTTTCTATAAATACCTACCAATATTATTCACTTTCCACAACAAATCTTCATACAAATTATTCTTCTTCAAATATTTTTCACTTTCCACACCGAATATTTTCTCCTTCACTAAATTCCATTTGTGTCAAAAAATAAATGGCCTCTTCCATTGAAGTCGGAGGCACATGGACAACCGTTGAAGATATTTTGTTGTGTACGTGTTGGGTCAAAGTTGGTTATTGCCCGATCATGGGCAATGGAGAATTTTGTGAAAGATCGGGTTCGACTCGAACGGAAGTGGCATTGGCTAGTAGGTGGAAAATTTTGAATAAAGAGTTAGGAAAATGGAGAGATACGTTGGCAAAAGCGAGGGAAATAGTTTGAAGCGGTGAAAATCTCAGCAACGAGGTAACAAATTTATAATTGCCGTTTTATTCAATTTAATGTCTTTATATATATATATATATTCTTGGATTTCCATTTTTTTTAATAGATTCTTTAAGCACAAATGTGGTTTTGTGTCATTGGCCAATGTAATAAAAGATTCAAAAATCACCAATGTTAGGACGTTGTGAAGAATTGTTCGAAATTCACTACACATTGTTCGTTCAGTTGTGTGAAGAAAACCATTACACATGGCTCCTCAAGTGAATAATGCCCGCAATTGGTTCCCGTGGTGCATTCCGTGTATGAAATAATGGCACGATTACATCATTTGAAGGAAAATACTCCGCCACGTCGTAATCCGGTGGAACCACCTCCGCCAATGATTGAATCGTCTTTGTACTCGATTGTGTCGGACTATGAGGACCGGAAGTATTTAAATTGTATGATGAGTGAGTAGGTATTTCAATTGTATGATGAGTGAGATGTGAATTTTTTAATAAATATGGACACGTGGCAACCAAAAATCTTATCAAAATTAATTGTTTAAGTATAAAAAATAAAAAATAAATTAAAGTGAATAGTAATTGTCCTTGCCCTTGTCCATAGGGGTGGAAACAAAAAAAAAAGGCAAGGGCTGCCACTAGTCATGTGAATAGTGACATACCTTGCCTTGCCCTTGCCTTTTGGGATAAAAGTGCTCTAAAGGCTTCATATCTTCATTGCTATGTGTCTAAGTGAAGTGAAGCACCCACTGATCAGAGAAGAAAATGAGAGTCCAGGCAGAGAGGAAGGAAGAAAGAGAGGAGAGTGAGAGGAGAGGAAGAAGAGGGCATAAAGAAATTCTCCAAGAGAGAAAAATCACTCAATATTTTGGCATATCCCGTTCATTTTACAATATGTTATCAGCACAAGAAACTCTCAAGAAGAAAAGCATTGGAGGAGTTGTGGTCTGCAAGAGAGATATACGAGCAAAACTATCGAAAAATATAAGCCCACTACCTTTTCCTCTATCTTGATAATTTATTATTACTATATCTATATTATTTAACTATCCTTGTTGACTATAGAAAGTTAGTGAAAGTTATTATATTAATAAGGATAAAGTGAGAATATTAATATTAGGGTAATGATTTCCCCACTCCAATTTTATCCACTTACACTCCTTTTTTAGTTATAAAATAGAGTGTAAGTGAATAAAATTGGAGTGAGGAAATCACCACTCTAATATTATTAGGTTAAGTTTTGGTGGAGCAAAAAAGCAACCAAATAGAATCAATCTAATTATTTATAGTTATTTCTTCGTCTTTTTGTAGAGAAATTTATAATGAGTTATGATGATCAATGTAAGTGCTAATATCTCACTTGTTTATTACATTCACACTTCATAAGGAAGCCTTAACCAGGTTTGGAGGTGCGAAGAGCTGTACTGGAAGCAGAGGGCAAAAATCCAGTGGCTGAAACATGGTGATGCAAATACTGCTTTTTTCCATAACTGCACAATTCAAAAAAAGGCGAAGGAACCGTCTGGGAAGAATAAGGAATCTTGCTGGAGATTGGGAAATGAGTGAGCATCACGTACGGAGTATAATCGAAGATTATTTTAAAAACTTATTCACGTCTGAGAGGCCAAGAGATTGGGGGGATATTCTTGCTTTCGTTCCTGCAGTTATCTCGGACGACATCAATGCTTCTCTTTTGGCCCCGATCTCAAATGAGGAAATTCGAATTACTGTCTTCCAAATGGTGGCCTTGAAATCGCCAGGACCTGATGGTTTCTCTGGAATTTTTTACCAAAAGTACTGGAGCATTGTGGGAAATGATGTTTGCAGGTTGGTCAAAAACTTTTTCTCCAACACCATGTCTATGGAAACGTTAAACAGAACTGAGATTGCCTTAATTCCTAAGGTTCCCCACCCAGAATGGGTCACGCAGTTCCGTCCTATCTCCCTATGTAATTATTCCTACAAGATTATTTCAAAGATTTTAGCAAATCGACTGCAGCCTTTCCTGGATAAATTCATCTCGCCTCAACAATGTGCCTTCATTCCAGGAAGACAGATCCAAGATAATGTCTTGGTGGCTCATGAAGCTTTCCACTCTTTAAAAATTAGGAGGAAAACAAAAATTTTTGAGATGGGGCTAAAGCTGGACATGAGTAAGGCTTACGATCGGATCGAGTGGGATTTTGTGCAGGCGGTGCTGTTAAAGATGAGCTTTGCTAGACAATGGGTAGGATGGGTCATGAGGTGCTTATCTTCTGTTGAATTTGCTGTTATTGTCAATGGGAAAGTGGGAAGCTATTTCAACCTGACTAGAGGGCTCAGACAAGGGGATCCGTTATCTCCATACTTGTTTCTTATCATTAGTTATGTGCTCTCTTCCATGATCAATCAAGCTGTTACCCATGTTTCATCCAAGGAATGAAATTTGGTAGAGGTGGCCCGGCTCTCTCACACCTCTTTTTTGCTGACGACTCACTTATGTTTCTCAAAGCAACTGAGAATAATTGTCAAGTGATTGTGAGAATCTTGGACTCTTATTGCACGGCCTCGGGTCAGCTTGTTAATTTTGAGAAATGAAATATGTTCTTCAACCCAAATACGTCTTTAGAGGTGAAGGATAGGTTAAGGGCTATTCTTAATGTCACCATCTTTGAGGATCCGGGCAAGTATCTTGGGCTTCCAACTATATGGGGCCGATCGAAAAAGATGGTGTTGGCTTTCGTAAAGGATAAAATTCTGGGAAAAATACAGGGTTGGAAGCATGGCTTACTCTCTCAAGCTGGCAGGGAGGTCTTGATTAAGTCTGTTGCCCAGGCCGTCCTGTCTTACCCTATGTCTGTTTTCCTCTTCCCGAATGGTTTCTGTAAGGAGATTGACAGTATTTTGGCAAATTTCGAGTGGGGTCAATCTCAGCAATCAAATAAAATTCATTGGATCAGTTGGAAGGACCTTGGCATGCCTAAGAATGAAGGGGGAATGGGCTTCCGCAACCTGAAGGATTTTAATGTTGCCTTGTTGGCAAAACAAGGGTGGAGGATGGTGATGGAACCTCAGGCCTTTTGGGCTCAGTTGCTAAAAAGTAAATATTTCCCAAATGGTGATTTTCTCCGGGCCGGGAAGGGGGCTAAGTCGTCCTGGGCTTGGTCTAGCTTGCTGGTAGGAATGAATATAATCATGAGAGGTGCTAGGTGGTAGGTTCTTAATGGTAGCCGTGTTCATCTTTGGACTGATAAGTGGATCCCTAGGTGTCCTGAGCATGCTCTGCAATCTAGCCATCTCAGCCATGTGGATTTGGAGGCCAAGGTTGAGACTATTATTGACTGCCAATCTCGTGAATGGAACTTGGAGGCTAGTGGTGGTATGTTTTCACCAAATGCTGCAAAAATTATCAGAGCCATGCCTTTGGGTGATGGTTGGGAGAAGGACAGGCTTATCTGGCCTCTAAACCAGACGGATATTACACTGTCAAATCTGGCTATAACATGATTCACATGGCTCACCTTGATACTTCGGTCAGGCCATCCAGCTCAAGAATTTTAGACAAGGCTCTTTGGAAGCTGATTTGGGGCTCTCAGATGGTCCCAAAGTTAATGAATTTTTGGTGGAGATTGGTCAAGGGCTGCCTGCCAACAAGGGATGCTTTGTTCAGGAGACACCTTGGCACCTCCCCGTTATGCCTTATCTATGGGGAGTTTTCGAAGTCTGTTGAGCATCTTTTTCTCCTCTGTAATTGGGTCCAGCCTGTATGGTTTGGGGGTCCTTTGAACTACAGGATAAACAGGTAGAGCATTACTTCTATGAGTGATTGGATGATGCAGATTTTGAAGTTTTCGTAGGGCTTGGGATATGATCAGAAGTGGCTAATTTCCCAAATTGTTTACAGTTGTTGGAGTATCTGGAAAAGCCGTTGCTCTGCTGTTTTTGATGATATTAGTGTGTGCCCTCGCAGTACTTTGCTGGTGGCAAAAAAGTTGATAAATGATTTCAATCTTGTGTGGTGTCCTCCTGGGGATGCGATTTTGGAGGAGGATATTAATGATGGCCATAGGGTGGTTAGATGGTCCCCCCCTCCCACTTCTGTTTACAAAATAAATATTGATGCTTCTTGGGTTAGTTGTACTCTGCAAGCTGGTCTGGGAGTTGTCGTGAGAAATTCGGCTGGCATCTTTATGGGTGGTTGCTGCGTTACTAGACTTGCTTCTTCGGCAATTGAGGCTGAAGCCCATGCTACTTTAAAGGGGATCAAGCTGGCTGTTGAAAGGGGGTTTCCAAATGTGGTCTTTGAATCTGACTCAAATGAGCTCGTTCAATCAGTTAAAGGAAATATTTTGAAAGGGAGGTGGATGATTTATCCTATCCTATCAGCTATTCGACGTCATTGTAGCAGTTTTATTTCTTGTTCCTGGCATTAGGTCCCTCGAGGGGCAAACCGAGCAGCAGATGTTGCAGCTCAGCGAGCTAGAAGGAGGATGTGCGATGAAGTTTGGGCTTCCAGCCCCCCATCCTCTTTGGTTTATGTGTTGCAAGCTGACGTACTTCCTTGCCCCCCGCAGTGCTAGGGAGTGTGCTAGAGGCGGACGGGCTCCCCTTTTGGAGGCGTCATAGCTACTGGTCTATGGCCTCTGTTTTTCTAGTTGTTGTGTTTTTGTCGTTGTTGTTGCTGTTTGTTCCCTTTCTTTCTATCTTTGGTTTGTCTGTTTCTCCCCTTTGTTGTCTTTCTTTCATTTTGAATGAAAGCTTTTATTGACCCAAAAAAAAAAAGAAAAAAAAAAGGTTTTTCATATTTTCATAAATAATAATATTATTTATATCACATTTATTGACCACCTTTTAATAGAGGTGGCCCTACCTATATTAAAGAAGTGATCAACAATATGATCAATAAATATGATCCAAATAGAAATAAATTATTTAGATATCCCCCCTAAGTTTTAGATTGTTTTCCCATAACCTTTTTTTTATATATCAAAATTCCTTCTCAAAATTGATGAAATCCGTAGAAAAGTTCTCTAAATAAGTTCTCTACATGAAAATTTTTCTTTTAGAGACAAATTGCATAGGTACCCCTCTTAAGATTTATTGTATTTTCACAAAAGGGCCTAGGTGTCGGTGTAACTTCCAAAAGATCATCGAATTTTGTACAAATATAATCAAAGTGTATCATTGTAATTAACCCTGTAAAAAGCAATTGAGATTTCATTCAAGATAATATGTTCATGCAATCCGGTAGCAAAAACAATCTAATATGTTGCAAAATATATCCAAAAAACACAAGTCTTGTTCAAGTTGTCTGGAGTCTTTCAATATTTATATGATATACTATGATGGAACCCTATGGGCAGGCAGGTCATTGTAAATGAATATCATGGTGGGTGCCGTTGCTAAAACCAGAAGTCTTTAGGGGTGCACCCACGTGGAAAATTAGGAGTTGCCAGCTCCCCACGTTAAGTCTTCTTGTCAAACGAATTATATAAAAAGACTTGGTACTGTGCTACGTACGAAACATAATTGATCGACTTTGCAGTATACAGAAAAATAGAGAATGAAAAAGTTAAAGAACATGGCCAACTTGCTGAAGAGATTTTAAGAACATGGTTAAATTGTTGACATGAAAATGATAGGATCCAAAGGGACCATGGTGAAACTGTAAATGTAGGGATGATAGCCAGGTCAGTGAGTCCGACTTCTTGCACCAAAATTCGAGTCACTTTTCTGTTGATTAGATTAATTTAGAGTAAATTATCACTTGTATCAAGAAAAAATAAAATATAGAGATGATGATTTTCTGAAAGCAATATCATGTGCTCCTTCACATTCAAATTTGACACTTTTACAATTTCTTAAAAATTAATGAGTGACAAAAGTAAAGAAATACTACCATCACAAGCAGAGTAAGTGTAAAACAGACGATTAAAAAGGGAAATTAAAATAATCATAACAATAATAAAAGCTTGCTGCACAAAGGAAATTAGTGAGCTGGATAGTCAAAATTTACATTATAGTTTCTACCAAAATAAAACAAAAACATTAATTTACAATGAATCTTTAAGCGCAAAATCTAATCTCAAGTCAGAACAACTTGTTTGACTGCTAAATCCCAGCACAGAAGCACTCAAATCAAAATGCAGAAGAGTATCCTCTAATTGATATCCTCCAATTACAATGGAAGTCTTCAAGTCAGAACCTCCATCCAAAAACCCCAAGCACATCACTTGGTTGCTCACCTGAACCATTGAATTTCTACCATGAATTCTCCACTTCACCATCTCACTCTGCAGCACCAGATCAATAGCAGGCACTTTTGGACCAACCTCTCTGCCCTCAGCCTGTTCTGAACTAAAACAGAGCCCAAATGGTGCCACAGGAGCCACTCTGGTCATGTTCATAGCTATAGCTGCCTGCTCATAAGCTCCGGTAAATGTAACATAAACTGAGCTCTCCATGGTAGTGTAAGGAACAGTTGTGCTTAGCTTTATCCCTTCTCTAAAACCCTCTTTGTTTAGAGATAATCTCTTGCTACTGATTTTAATGTACTTCAAGTTGATAAAATACTCATGTTGGTTGGTGAGGAGGGGTGTGTATGTGTATGTGAGTGAGTTTGAAATTTCAGAGCCAAAGTGGCCATTGTTGTGTAATATGACCCCATCTGATGAAGATAGGCAGAGCATGAATTGCAATTTGGAGCTGAGTTTGGCAGAGATTTGTGAGGCCATTGAAATCTGAGTCCTTCCAAGGCCTAACATTCCTCTGGCACCACTTGCTAAGCCATTCAAAAGGAACATAGGTGCACAAGAAAACAGGAAATTGGAATCAAGGGTGGTGATTGAACCTGACTCTGTCCTTGATGACCCATCTATGACTTGGACGGCCATGATGTCTTGCACTAAATCCCCTTGTGTTGCCATCTGGGTGATGCTGTTTTCTGGGAAAACATGACACTTGTTGTTGTTGTCATTGCTAGAGAGGTAGTTCTTGCTTCCCTGATCATGGGTTTTTGGCTTTGCTGCTAAGCATTGGATCGAGCCCTGAGAAATCAGACGGCTAGAAGATGATGATGACCCACAGTTGAGCCAGAGGAATGGACCGCCAAGATGAACCACAAGCTTGTTGGGCGCAAGTGGAGTGCCATGATGAATTGTGGTCATATACTGGAGGGTTGACACATCCTTGGTCACATGAAAAATTAGACCATTTGGTAGGTGAGAGGGTTTAGCTTGAGATAAGTTGAGATTGCACAAAAAGAAAGAGATCAAAAGAAGAAGATGGAAAAAAGGCAGAGAAGCAGCCATGGAAGAAAACCAGAGAGGAAGAGAGAGAGAGAGTGTTGGGTCTGGAAATGTGAAGAACGTGAGGATAAAATAAAGGGTAGTTGGTGCTTTTGCAGTTTGCCGCGGCTGGCCACCAATGATTAAATATTACAATGGATAAGAGCTTTGGGATAATGTGAATTGTGCTGACTAGATTTTGTGCTTGGAGTTGGTCAGTGTTTATCTTCTTGGGTTGGCATGTGGAGTTTTGATCTGATGTGGCATAGTGTGAGTGTGACTGAGGATGACATTATTATTTTTTTATGGTGGAGAAATATTTTGGAAGACGTTGCGCCATCTGGTTCACCTCCTCTCTCTTTACTTGCTTTTCGTTTGTTTTTCGTTTGTTTTCCTATAGCCAAATTGGGGATTTAAGGATTACAAACTATTATGCAGAGTTTTGTTTATTCGCTTATGCCATAAAATTGAGAATGTGATGAACTAATTTTATGGCTTCAGGTTCTCCAATTCTTCCTCTTTGTCAATCCCCTCTTCTTCTGCTGGGAATATGTTTATTTGTGCTAAGGTACATTGCTTAATTCACGTTTTCTGATATGTTAGTGTTTTCCAGGCTATGGGTATGCCTACTTCTTTGTTGATTGATTATGGACTTTATGATTTTGTGTTTCTTTACAAGTGGACAAGGGTAAGGTTCCACCACCCTTCACATTGAAAGATCAGGATGGAAAAACTGTCAGCTTCTCCAAGTTCAAAGGAAAGCCTGTGGTTCTCTATTTCTACCATGTTGTGATGATGAGACCCCAGCGTGCAGCAAACAGGTTCAAAATCATGACATTGTTGCATGTTCTAATTCTCCCATTCGTTTAGTGGTAGGGGCAACCTGAAATGTTCATTTCCTTACTTAGAAGCTTGATATCTTTTCAGTCAGCTTATCCTAGATGTTTTTGCCGAATAATTTTTGCTTTCCGGAAAAAAAAACACTATGATCTCATTATTGTTGTAAGTTTTTATTTGTTATGATATGCAAATTCACATTGGAGCTGACAGTACCAGATAAAGACTGTATCTTTAATTAGTGTAGACACTAACAAATTGATGCTCCCTTAGGCTTGTGCCTTCAGAGATTCTTATGAGAAGTCTAAAAATTTTGGTACTCAAGTTGTACTCAGTCCGTTGTCTATGTTGCACAGAAGAGCTGGCTTGTTCAATGAGTATTCACGAGGCCCATTGATAGTCCAAGGAGTGGAAGTTTTGGGCTACTTGGGAGCATCAAAACTCAAGCTCATTCTTTGAGCTCAAACATATGGGTAAGCATGAGAGAAAACTCAATAACACATCACCTTAAGAAAAGACCCAAACATCTTAGAAAATATCTAATAGTCATAGTCCACAACACTTGGAAATATCTTACATTAGTCAAAATATCCAGCACCTTGTTAAAACCAAGGCAAACCCACGTGAACACAAGCTGCTCCCAGCATCTTGCCAAGATCAAGGCAAACCCATATGCACAGGCTGCTGGAAGTAAATCACCTTTTGACCAGCACCCTTACCCATTCTTTCCTCTGCAAACTCTGGTGGGAAAACAAAAAGGAAAAGCAAGAGGCTCTCACCCATATGAAGGAGTCCAGTCGCAAGAAAGTCTTGGAACCCAAAAAAGCTCTGCTCCTATGTGATAGGGTTGGAGAGATTTCACCAAAGAGGATTGAATGGAAGAAAGTGAGGAAAAATTGAGAAGAAAACTTGATAAAAAAAAGGGGGGCTTCCAGTGCCTATAAAAGGAGGCACCTTCTACCTAGCAAAAGGGGAGATCCAGAGCGAGTAACATCCTTACCCATTGCTATAAGCTTCAATTTCAAGTTGTGTTCTTCCATCTTCTTCCTTCTCTTTCCCATAAACACATTCAGAGAGAGCAATCATCACCTCTCACCTCTGGAACCCTTTAATTTCATGCTATGTTCTTCTATCTTCTTCCTCTCTCACCCATAACCACATCCAGAGAGAACAAGCATCCCCTTTCACTACTAGAACCCTTCAATTTCGATCCATGTTTTCCATTGCTCCCTCTTTTCTCTTCTGGCAAAAAACACAACGCCGGAAATTTGCTAAAGCCACCACTTCTTCCACCTTCATCTTTCCCTCAACAAATCCTCACAAAATTCCATATCCCCTTACTTTGAACCTCTGTTTCTCATAGAAAATCCAAGCCTTCTCTTTCTCATGCTAAACTCATGAATGCTCAACTCCCATGCCACAAGCTTCTCATGCCATGTAACATCCCACATCGACCAACGAAGAAGGAGTGATGTGTCTTATATGTACATGCCCGCCTTCATCTAGCACGATGCCTTTTGAGAGCTCATTGACTTCGGAGTCATGAGAACTCTGAAGTTAATCGAGATTGGGCTAGAGCAATCCCAGGATGGGTGACTCATTGTGAAGTTGCTCATGAGTTCCCAAAAACAAAACCATAAGGGTATAGGGCCCAAAACGGACAATATCATGCTAAGGCAGAGCCGATCCGGGATATGACATGCCAAGCCTAAATATTTATATGTAAGCAACTGTTGGTTTTGTTGGTGAAGGAAGCCAAGGTGTTTCGTAAGGCTTCACGAACCTTTCGAAACACTCTTGGGGCTTGATTCTTGAACACAGACACAGGGGCAAGTCCACCTATTTGCTCTTTACAGTAGCCCAGACCCATCTGTAGTTGCCGGAACGAAAAAGCCCCTACAACAATTACCTAGTTATTATGAGTAATTACATGTCAATTCAAAGTATGACTTGACAGTTTATATGCACTTGTAGAACCATTCTAGGCCTAGCCAGCCTACATGCTTCTTTAAACATCACATTATAGCTAATTGCATACAGGGGGTCAAAATTTGCATAAACTATATGCAATTGCACGTAAGAAATGATATAGTAAAACTTGGAGTGTTGGATGTTAATACTCGTTCAAATTCTATAGCTAAGAAAGCACCAGTTCTGAGACATGTGGCTTGCAAAAGTTAACCATCAACCACCACTTCTCCACTAACAAGCCTAAATACTCCAATTGGATTCATCATGACTAGAGTTCTTGAGTAATAAATCAAATCTAAAATATATATATATAAAATAAAAATAAAAAAAAGGAAAAAGAAAATTTTTACCCAAGATCGATATTTTAATCATTATCCTCAATGAATGACATTATTTACCCAACGAATGAACCATTTATTGTTTACCAAGTAAATTATTCTGTTTATTATGCGATTTACCTAACGAACGACATAATTTACCCAATGAACGGTCCCCTTAGTGTTCCTTGTGTAAATTATTGTGTTCGCTTGGTAACGAGTCTAAATGTCCATTACCCACCGAACGTCAATTTTTACCCAACGAATGTTGAAGGAGTCGTTTGTTGAGTAAATCATGGCGTTCATTGAGTAATTTACTCAACAAACGACATTAGTTACCCAACAAATGAGCCCTTTATCATTTACAAGGTAAATTATTTTGTTCATTGTGTAATTTACCCAATAAACAAGCCCTTTAGCGTTCGTTGTGTAAATTACTTAGTTCGCTTAGTAACGAGTCCAAATTTCTATTACCCACCGAACGTCAATGTTACCTAATAATGAATGCTGAATAAGACATTCGTTGACTAAATCATGGCGTTTGTTTGAGTAATTTATACTCAACGAACAATATTGTTGACCCAACAAACGAATCCTTTTTTGTTTACCAAGTAAATTATTCCATTCATTAAGTGAATTATTTTTTTATTTTTTTTTGGTCAAGGTGTTTGTTAAGTGATTTACCCAACGAACGATATAATTTACCCAATGAACACTAAGGGACTCGTTCATTGAGCAAAATCATGGCGTTTGTTGGGTAATTTAGTCAAGGAACGACATCATTTGCTTGACGAACGAGTCGCTTAGCATTCATTAGGATAAATTATTCAATAGAACTTTCATGATTTACTACTAAATTGAACCACAATGAACTATTGTAGAGAAAATTGAACTTTGTTGATTATCATCAATTGTTACTGTATTGTTAATTAACAACAACAAAAATCAATAATATCAAACATATTACTGTTGCCCAAGAAACAGTGAAATCACTCATTTTCAACTATATGTGAACCAATGTCTAGCTATGAAGACTATGATCAGCTACCTCAATATAGATGAGGCATGTGAGTCACCCTGGAAAAGGATGATTCAACCTCTCAGCTAAGAAATTTGCCAATGTACCCCTAAATATTTTTTGTGAAGAAAAAAATGGAGTTTTCATGAACATAAAATGCATACGAACAACGTTTTTTGAGATTGGAATTCAAACTAATTCATTCGAATTAAGCTTATCACATAATCTAAGGCAACTAAGTGAAGAAGAACCTAGGACCCCTTATTTCCTAAAACAGCTAGAAAAAGAAAACGAAATGTTCATAAATTATGAACAACAAGGACCGCAATGCTTTCTAAAAATACACATTTTGCCCTCAACCACTATCATTTGAATCATCAAGTTTATTATCTTTCTATGCTGATGCAAACTAACAAGGCCATTCTCAATTTTCCTTGAAGAGAAAAAACAGCAGGGCGGAGAAATTAAGACCCTGTTTGGTATCCTACTCAAAAAAGTAAACTAAAAACTATGATTCTTTTTAAAAACATGAGTTTTCAAATAGTGATTTTAAGATCTAAAAACTTGTTCGGTATTGAATTTCTAACTATTTTTAAGATCTAAAAAAATTGAATTTAAAAGAAAATCAGAAACTCTAATCCCCAAATTGAAATTAACAAAAGAAAAGGAAAAAGTTGTGAGGCATAAACCCTATCAACTTTGGTGGTGGGCAAGAGAGAGAGAGAGAGAGAGAGAGAGAGAGCACTGTAATACATCACATTTTTTTGTTTTTAATAGTAAGTGTTTTTGAATTTTTTTTTGGGTTTGAGTTTTTAAAAATGGACTTATTAACGGCTTTATAAAATTAGATCCAAGTAGAATACTAAATGAGTCCTAAACTTTCCAGAAGAAATTTTGATAGCATACAATTGTCAATTGACAGTTTACGTGTTCACTAAAAACCAATGAAATTGACACAAACAAAATTCATCATGCCCAAGAACAAATCAAACTAAATACCTCTCAATTGGGTGAGTATTCGATGAAATTGAAGCCCCGTTAAGAAAGGCAAAGCCTAATTGAGTGAGGTTTTGCCTATGAAATGTAGCTTTCTGCAGATGAGTTTTGGGGAAGAGTTGGAGGACCTCGCTTGGGATTGGCTAAGGCAGATAGTCGGCAATGAAGTGATGGCAGCGTTCGTGGAAGACCTCTAGCACGTGAGTCTGGATAGCTTTTCCTTTCTCTAAGTCATGTGTGACTCACGTGATTGGCATGCGAGTGGCTGCACAGCCACTTCAGCACAGAAGGTCTCCTCACCTCAACTCGATCGCCCAACATTTTCAACCCTCAGAACCTCTCTCCGGTACTATCACGTTAGGCTTTGGTGGGTTTCGGGCTTTGTCTTTTGTTTTGGGGCGTCTCTGGGTTTTGTCTTTGGACCTTTTGTTGGTTCATATCTTCTGTTTTGGATGAGCCCAATACATGTAAAATTGTGAAATTGAACTGTACTCTTTTTTGACATGGGAAAAGCGAACTGAAACAAGAAGAAAATATTTAAAAAAAAGAGAGGAAATAGAAAGAAGAAGAGGGAAGACTTTCCAAAAACAGAGAAAAGAAAAAAAAACCCCAAGACTAAGTTATATAGGACCAAAACACAATGATCAGATGCGTGGGATAAACAAACGCTCATTCTCAGACCTCAAATTTCCTATATCGCAGCTTGTTGAGTGAGTGCCCTCTTCGATTTTGTTTTACATTTATTTTTATTTTTACTTCACTCTGCACCTGATCTAGATGTTTGTTTCTCCAATTTGATGTGAATTTTACACTTCTTGGTTTGTTCAACAAATCAATAATTGGGAAACTTGCTCTCTTGAAAGCTAAATTCATATCGGTATAATTATTTATGGTAATTTGATTTCCTCTTATGTGTTTGTTTGATTGGTTATGTATCTCTAGAGGTTCACATCTGGGTTTACAGTCCAATGAATAACTTGATTGATGGAAGTGTTTATGTCGATCTTCTGAAAAAAAATGCGAGTTTTTATTATTATTATTCTGTTTGCACTTGATTTGCTCTTTGTTATGATGGTATTTCAGAAATAAGTCAAAGTTCATGTTTTGAGCTTGTTCGCGATTTAGTTTCTATGGGTGCTTTTGGATGATTCAATCATGTTTCAAGCAAAAGAGAATTGCATGAATGACCTTGTATTAACCTTATCTTTTTTATGTATTTGAACTTCAATATAAAAGTGTTAATTAGGGAATCTATAATTTGTTCAAAATTAAATTTGCTTTCCTTATTATGTGGATGATTGCCTTGCAGGGGAGTCAGTTAACGAGTGAAAATTTTCCTGTGACTAGCAATGGATCAGATGGATGAATCCCTGAAGAAACAAATTGCAGCATTGTTGAGAATTATACATGTGACAAGATGCTCCAAAGAGGACAATGTTCCATGCCAAATTGAAGAGGTCACAAGATTATAATTTTGCAATATGTTCATCATTCGCTCTGCATTGTTTCTACTGCCCTGTTTTCTGCAGCTAGAGCAATTGGACTGCGTATAGGACACTTATTGGACAGATGCGATCATTACCAATTGACTCACTTGTTTCTATTGTTTTCACATTCCAGGGTCTCTTCTTGGGTTCTATTGGAGCTGCTAATAACAAGGAGGAACTAAAAAACTTAAACATCACACACATTTTGACTGTGGCTAATTCATTCGAACCTTCATATCCAAATGATTTTGTGTATAAGATTATAAATGGTAAGAATGTTGTTCCTCTGATCTGTTGCAATACATACGCTGGTTTCTTTTCTTTTTGTTTCCGACCGCATGTCTTTAAGGTTTTTAAAATACCCTCCACTTTTTGGGACAATATACTTCAATTTATTTTCTCTTGAGTTGATTGTTTCTTACAGAGTCTTCAACTTGCATCCAATCAATTGCTTTGTGTAGCCTATTCAAAGTTTAGTTTTATTTTCCTTCATAATTTTGGATCATAAGTGATTTGCAAATGATTTTAGCATTTATATAAAATATATAAGCAATTCTGCACATCTTTGGTGTGCTCCATTCTTCCAGTATCTTCCAGCACACAAGCAACACTTATTCAGCATTCTGAAGCACTTTTACTCCAATTTTGTTATGTTTGGTTCTCACCACCCTTTACTTATACAGTATGCCTTCATGACTGTATACCTCACAACCCCACCATATGAAGTTGTTAATGCCTTGAATCTAAGACCATTTAAACATCAGCTTGTTCATAATTGTTGTTTCAAACCAAGGTGGGCTTATAGAACTGAAATTCGTATTTATCTTCTGGTGCTCCTTCAAAATTGAGGTAGTTGCGGACAGAGTATCAACAGATTTAAAGCAGCACTTTGATGAGTGTATTGATTATATTGATGAAGCTAAAAGATCTGGTGGTGGTGTGTTGGTTCATTGCTTTGTGGGAAGATCCAGAAGGTGGTTTTTCTCACCCTGTTTGGGTTATTGCTTTCAAGTTCTTTTCTTTCTTGATTTAAGTAAACACTTTTAATCATTCCCATAAGAAGTGAATCCTTGAAGTTTGGTTCTATTGATCTCTTTGATATTTCATGTTAGGGAAATAAGCATAAATTATCTTGTAGTTCCAATGAATTCTGATAATAAATGCTTAGAAATTTGCATATCTTTTCTCAATATTAGAAATTGCCTTGCTGGTTTAAACTAATCTAGATGAAGGTCAAGAGTTATGTGGTTTTACGTAGTTTTGTTGAACCTAGATCAGAGTCGAGCTTTATCCAATGGTCATCAATTCTAGTAAAGCCAAATTCAAACCGTATAAGCTAGGAAATTCGCACAGCTTAGAAAATATACCTTTGAGTGAAACATTTTGCTTATTGATATTACTAGAACTTGGAAACTACTACAGTTTTCATGCCTTTAAATGTTTGACCGTGCAGTGTGACTATTGTTGTTGCATATCTGATGAAAAAGCATGGCATGAACCTATCTCAAGCTCTTGAGCATGTGAAGAGCAGACGACCTCAGGCAGCTCCAAATTCTGGTTTCATATCACAACTGCAGAGCTTTGAAAGGTCTCTTCATGGTGTGTTACATTTTACTTTTTTTTTAATCCAACTAGATGTATGACTAGAGCCTGAAGTAGCTAAACCAGCGTAGCATACTCGTGGTTTTACTAAAATATCTTTTTCTCCCTAGCCAAACCACAGTATAAAATAATATTTTTCTGGCTGACCTGTTGGAGCTCCTGAATTTGAGCAGAGAGTTTGTTGGTAATGATACTGGTTGGCAATGTTAACATAGTTGTTGATAGTGTTTTGAAAAAATAAAATTAATAAAAACTTGTGTGGGCGGCAATGCATGTTAGAAAGGGGTGACAATGCGCAGAGCCTGGAACCCATTGATGGTAGCTTGCAGATTGTGTACATAATGTGCAAGATTTAAGCTTGAATTCATTTTGTGTTAGTATATATCTGTTGTATAGTCAGGCCATGAAAAAACAAAGTAGGATATGTTTAAGTATGTTTGCCAGCCCTGCATTTATTGAAGGCTTCAACTAGTCCCAGAAAGCACAATGCCAGAAACTCTCTTTTTCTTGGTCTAAAGTTATTGTGCAGTTTTTTCACTTCAAAATTCATAGTTGTCACCAGAGAGCTATAAGGCTTTAAGCAAGTATTCTTGTGTGCATTTTTACCTGCGTTCCATAATGGCTTTTTGTTTGATTGTGTATGGAATTTCCTTTATAATGTAGCAGATGAAGAGAACAAGACAACCTAATGTACATAGGTGGACTGCGTTGAAGATCCTTGCTCTGCTGCGTTGAAGAACCTCGTTATAATATATATATATATATATATATATGTTACCCAAGTTAGATATAAATTTGGTGGTATAGAACTTTCACGCTTGTTACAAAAGAAAAGGATGCGCCCTGATGCTGGCAACTAAAATTTAAAGTTGATTGTGAGAATGCTTCGGTTGTAGTTCTGTATAAAGCTTTTTCCATGTGTTCAATGAAGCAAGAAGGGTGTAATCCTAATTGCATTGAAGCTTTTTATGTAGAGTTTGCCATAAACTTATGAAACAGTGTGTAAATCTTTGTGGTATAGAAAAGCAGATTGGTTGCGATGTTTTGAGGCAGATGCTAATATTTGCATAAAAAAATAAATATAAGCCTTAAACTAGGGTGGGCGCTGTTCGGTTTGGTTTGGTTTCCACTTCACACTAGAATTGGAATTTGTACTATTTAACCGGTGTGGTTTGGTCCGGTTTTTGTGAAAAGAATTTATGAAATTGGCTGGTCCGATTTAATTCGGTTTCGGTGCGGTTTTTTATTTTTGGGGTGTTGGATTGGATTTTTTTTTACAATTTATTTATTTATAAATTCCAACTAAAATTTTATTTTTTGGGCTTAAAAATTCACAAATGATCTAATTTCATATACAAAGAGATGATTGGACCTAAAAATGAAAAGTGCTTTGAAGTTAGGCTTGAGGAAATATTAATTATGGGATTAAAAATTTAGCATTTGACTTAAATAATTTTTAAAAATTTAAAAAAATAAGTAATTGGTCTGGTCTGGTCTAGTTCAGTTTTGTAAGAGCATCCATAGTGGGGGGATGTAAATTCGGGGATGTAAAGCCACTTTTACATCCCCTTTACACCTCTGGGGGGTGTAAATTCGAGTGTGTAGCCGTGGGTCCAAGCCTTTTATGTTGACTTTTCTTCATTTTTCTTCTCTTTTCTTGGGTGGGTCCCACCTGCAAGGGATGTAAAAATAGATGTAAATATACATTTTATTTTACATCCCCATGGTGGTGATGTATATTTACATCCATTTATATATCTCCATTGGAGATGATTCCGATGACTCGGGGTGTATATTTAACATACACTCCCTCATTGTGGATGCTCTAAGGTGTGAAAAAGAAAAGGGACATAATGGTTGGCTCATGCCAAAACCAATTTGGCGGGAGATTAAAAGCTGGTTATGCTCATGCCAAAACCCGAACTCCAGTCTCCTTAGAGCGACTCCACCCATTTGCCATTTGTCATGGCAAGGGGGGAGCTAGGGCAGCCACTATTCATGTGAATATTTACTGCCCTTGCAAAAGGTTGTGGTGTTTCCATCGATTGTCATGGCAACAACTATTCACATGAGATATGATGAGAGAAATTTGTATAGAATTTTAGTGTGGGAAGTGAAAACTACAACTAAGTATTTATTTTTTTTTAAATCCGAAATTTTTTGTATTTTGTTTAGATTTTTTTCTATTTTTTTTGTTGCTAACGTTGTCATTGACGTCAGCAAACTGGGGCTAGAACTAAGCAGGGGCGGAGCTATTCATAGGCCTGAGATGGCCTGGGCCCCCCCAACATCTTCTCACCTCTTTGACTGTATAAAGAGTGTAGTATAGATTGCACAAAAAAATCCCATAGTTTTAAGCTTGTGGCCCCTCCAAATATCAAACTCTACCTCCGCCACTGGAACTAAGGCAGATCTTGCCTGAGGGCTAGCCTGGGTTCGTGGGCCCCATCTCCTACCAAGGCTAGCCCTTGCCGCTGGAAACAAGATTTTGGCCCAAACCCCCCACAGCCCTGCCCTTAGGCGCATCAGTGGAATCACTGAGCAATTGGTGGAAACACCACAACTTTTTGCAAGGGCAGCAACTATTCACGTAAATAGTGGCTGCCCTAGCAGCCCCGCCTTGCCATGGCAAAGGGCAAATGAGTGGAGTTGTTCTAAGAAAATAGATGATGGAATCTCTCTCTCTCTCATTCTTTAAATTTATAGTTGTGTTGGGCATGAACCCATTTACGTAGAGTATGAATTAATACATGTCATGATCAGAATGTCATACTATATATTTCAGTTCTGTGAGGTTGATGGACATTCATTCTCTGCGCTTCATAAAGTCTCTTCTCCATGGAGGATCCAGCATCATCCGGGCTGCTCCTATACCTACCTAAGCTAAGCTAGTAAGCTTACTCTTGCCCACCCAAACAAACAAACAAACACGAGATCATACAGCAGTACGTAGCAGAAGGGATAATTAATTTCTCTTGAACAATTCAATAAAAGCACATGATCCTGGGCCAAAGTCAGAACAACTTGAAGCCACCCACCCCAGCCACTTGGCTAAACAAGCATTATATGTATATACTCATTTGGCTATAATTAATAAAACTTCTGACACGCATATTGTTCCTAAATTACGAAAGATTTCATCATATTTCTTTATCATATTATATGTAACTAAATGAGTAATATTTGCCTAAATCATCATATGAAATATCCACAACATGCATACACACAGAATAATGTGTCACATCCTAAAACAAAACTATTTCAATGAAAAGATAAATAAACTTCTTTCAAGTGCAGTAAATATTTTTCACGTGAAATTGGTAGTTCAGTTTCAACCAGTAGTGAACTTTGGAAGTCCCATGAGGACCCCGATGGTTTTAGGGTCTGCGCCCACAGGCAAGTCATTGTATTTATTATATATTATTGTAAGCATGCATTTTCCCAACAGATCAGAGAACTTCAATGGTGAACTTTGAAACTCGAACAAAGCTTCTGAAAGTTAGGACCCATGTAAATTGTAATGTATAGGAATAGGATCGATTGAGGAGATGAAAGAAGTGAGCATGTCATGCATGAGAGAGAGTTATAGAGTACTAGCTAGAGAGTAACTAGATAAATATGTGCATGAGAAAGATAGCACAACTCTAAGGCACGGGGGCACGTAATTGAACCCAACTTCATAAACGTGAGACGCGTAATAGTATATGCTACCGAGAGAGAGAGAGAGAGAGAGAGAGAGAGAGAGAGAGAGAGAGAGAGAAGGAGTAAAAAAGAAATTCACGAGAATGTGACCCAAGGCATTTAATGCAAACCCAACAACAGGTGGTTTTTTTGGTCCATTTTGGGTTTCTTTCAATGTATCTCTTATAAATAGAAGAGTTTTAGAGTTGGTGTGTGGACGAAAAACAAATTGCAAGAGGTTGAGAAGGGAAAACAAGAAAACAAAAAGAAGAAAACCATGTCTCACATAGCTGTGGAGAGAAACAGAAGAAAGCAGATGAACGAACATCTCAAAGTCTTACGCTCTTTAACCCCTTGTTTCTACATCAAAAGGGTATCTCATATATAATTACTCTATACATACATATATATATATATATGATCAATTTTAAGTCGGTGTTACTTAATCATTTTCTTGCTAATTGCTTGACATGTTCTAGGGAGACCAAGCATCAATCATAGGAGGTGTGATAGAATTCATCAAGGAATTGCATCAAGTTTTACAGTCTTTGGAATCTAATAAACGGAGGAAGAGCCTTAGCCCTAGCCCTAATCCAAGCCCGAAGCCAGTAGTATTGCCTCAGCAATATCCATCTACTCCTCAACTTGATCAAAACCCTAATTTCAATTTTAATTTGGGGGTTGACAATCACCATCATGTGATCAATAAGGAACTAGCTATAGGAGCTTGTTGCAACTCTCCAGTGGCAGATGTCGAAGCAAAGATCTCGGGGTCCAATGTGGTGTTGAAGATAATATCTCGGAGAACATCTGGTCAAATTGCTAAGATAATTGGTGTGCTGGAGAGGCTTTCATTTGATGTCCTTCATCTCAACATCAGCAGCATGGAAGACACTGTTTTATACTCTTTTGTAATCAAGGTATACGTTCTAGTCTATATATATATCTCACTTTATGAAATAACTTAAGTATGCATCTTTATATATACAGATGGTGATGAGAACTTGGGAAGTTAGGGTTTTAGCTACCCTCAGGCTTCAGTGAGAGAGCTGCTATATGTCAAACCTAGAGAACTGGTTTTTTTTTCTCTAGAATCAGAAATATGAACTGATCACATGCAAGCAGTCATATATTTGGAGAAACTAAACTTGATCTGATCTCGCTACAATCTAATTTGTGATTGCAGATAGGACTGGAGTGTCAGCTGAGCGTGGAGGAACTGGTGCTTGAAGTTCAACAAAGTTTGCGCTCAGAAAGCACTACTTGAACAGATACATGCAAAGTTTGCTCGAGTGGCGAGATCAAGTGCTGAAGTTAATTTGATATATGGTTTTATTATAATATGCATGTGAGATTAAAGAGGATATAAATGTTTAAATCATATAATAAGCAATGCTTATACCTTAAAACTTTTGTTTGGTATATAATTATTTTACTCTATTAATTCATGGGTGAGTTGTGAAACACAATAGAGTAAACTAATTATATGAAAAAAAGTTATAGGTATTAGCATATGTTTTGTAAGAGATATGGTTGTTCTCACTATTATATATACTGATTTCTTGTTACATAGTTTGGTATGTTATTAGATTGCTAATCTGGATTCTAATTAATATTCCAAACAATAATTCACATGATCGCAATCGACGCGATTATTCAAATTCACAGTTTAACAACATAATCAACTAGTATAACTCACTCAAGAGTAGCTTTCCCATATGTTGTTGTACATGGTGAAATGGTGGTGGTGTAAGTGCATGCAATGTTAAGAGTGTACAAGCAAATTACACAGACGAGTCTGACTATGACCTTCAGACCCAAAAAAAGTCTGACTGGGGCTCGGGCCAAGGTGTTGTTGTACAAGGCTACAAGGCTTTCTGGGCTACTAGCCCGACCCAGCCCACAAAACAAACATTATGAGAAAAGATGTTCTTACAATTTTTTGAAGCCCATTTAGTCTATTAAAAATCTTTAGGCCCATTTGGTAACTATTTTTTATATGTTTATTTTTGTGTTAGTTAATGGTAGAAGAGAAATACATAGAAGAAAGAAAGAAGAAAATGCAATGAGGGATGGAAAGGAAGGGAGAAAATGCAATGGAATGCTACTTAAAGTGACAACTAAAAACAATATCAAATAGTATTTCTGTTTTTTAAGTTTTCGTTTCATATAATAATCTTCGTCGTTTCTTCTCTTCTCCTTCATGTATCCCTCATTTCTCTCACATGTACGTTGCTTTTATTTAGCTTTAAAACTAAAAAACAAATGGTTATCAAACGAGCCATTAGTTTTGTCTTTTACATAGAACCCGCGAAAGCTAGTGATTGGAGGAAATATGGATTAGATTATTATATGTAACTTTCACAATGGGTCAGCCATCAGCCCAATCCTTGTAAAAGCAATATAAAACCCAAACCAAAACTTATCCTTGGAGACGGAAGATATGGATTAGATGATTATAAATTATAGATATGGAGTTTCAGGCATTGTGGGGTGGGGCTTAAGTATTAAATAAACCTTTTGACACTGCGAGTGGTCATTAAATATGTGTTTAGAATTAGATAAACCCTAATTAAGGGAGTGTTTTCACACTAGTGTTCCTTCCACCTTGTGATGGCGGTAAGAATGGGAAACCTAATTTTGGCGCACACTATGATTGCTATTGATGTTACATTTGTCTTGTAACTTGTGTGCATGCATAACGCATTGAATATTAAACTAATCTAATTAATAAGTCTTCAACAAATCTAATTTCGCAGCAGAAAGTGAAAGCACAAACAAAAGCCATAAATCCGTGATTAAATAGCTCCCCTTGTCTTTGTGGCCCTACATGGACACCAACTCCGGTAAAACACCACTCACTTTTCTCCATCCTTTTCAACTCTCTCTCTCTCTCTCTCTCTCTAATCCATTATTAATTTAGGCAGATTATTGATTAATTCTTGAGCCTGGCTGCTGATGGGGTCCATGCTTTTGAAGTGAAAGTGATACATCCATATATTATTATATATTAAGATATTTTTAAAGTGATCCATCGAGTTGATGATTGCTAATTCACAAGTACTGTTTTCCTGTATCGTCGTTTTCCTTGTTTTGCAGCAGTTGCAGATGATCAGTCACCTGAATTGCTGTGCATCATTCATAATGATTGAAACAACACCACAAGCACAGCTAGCTCATCATCATCGTCGACTGTGTATGATGATGCCATGTGAAGAACTAATTATTTTCACGCAAAGTTTGAGATTTTTTATTTTTATTGGGTAAAAATAAAATAAAAGTTAATTTCGAGTGGCGAGGGAGGGAGAACAAGGCTAGCTCGTTATTATTGATCGCAATTTGAGCAGACATTCCCATTAATGAAGGAATGTTTGGTGATTCTCACATGATCTCATGGATAAAGCTTCATCTGTAATTTTAATCATTCCGATCATATCATCAAGTGCTTAATTCATTTCATTTTTAACAACAAACAAACAAACAAACACTGTTTTATTTTCCAGGTGCCATTATTCTTTTCTTTCCTTCTTTTCTACTCACTTTTTTCACTTTTACAGTTTCACCTGCCAAAAACACTTGTGAGTGAGAGGAAAGGGAAGGTAACGCCAGACGTCTAGGGAGGAGAAGAAAAAAGACAAAGGGCCAGAACACAAGCATAAAGAAATGAATGAACCTAAACCTAGTGGTCCAACTCTTCTGAAATTTTGCACTCAAATTATTGCAATACCAGCCAAAAATTTGGTGAACCTATATACACACACACCCAGTATATAGACAGTACGTTCGTTGTCTGCTTCTGGTCAACTTTACTGTTCAATCAAATGAATAATAACCCTATTCTCTTACCATTGTTTACCTCACTTTTTTTTTTTTTTTTTTCTCTTTTTTTTTTTTTTTTTTTTTTTTTGAATGAATGAAGTGCAGAACATGAATTTGCTGACAACTTGTAATTTGGATTCTTATTATTATTATTATTAAGCCGTAATTACAATTTGAAAGGGGCAGTTTAGCAAACCCAAAAAAGAGTAAGAAGAAAAGTCCAAAGGGTTAGACCAACCAACCCCCTCCGAGAGAGAGAGAGAGAGAGGCTTTCTGTCTGTCTGACCTCACTCATTCATAGAAATGATGCAACCAACCCTAAAACCTATCATCTCTGATATCTGACGATGATGGTCGTCATCACCCAAAAATCCAAGTACACAACGAAAGCCACGTGTACGGCCAGAAAAAGAATCAGCTCAGCATCTCTCTGTGATCAATGCACAGAGAGAGATGTGAACGTGGGAGTGAGTTGGGCGCGGCAAAGGAGGGGAGAGAGAGAGAAACCAACAAAACCCCTACTGAGTCTGTGGGGAAAGAGAGAGAGAGAGAGTAATACTAATAATGATGAGGGCGTGGCGTGGTGTGGTGTGGTTGTACTACTGTGTGGGGGAGAAGGGGGTTTTGTGGGACTGGGACCCACGTGAAGGGGATGGGGGGGTGGCTTTAACCGGGGCCGTACACAGAGCAAAAAGATTCCGCGGCTCTTCAGAGGGGTGGTGGTGTGAGAAGAGAAGCAAAACCCCCTCCCTCCGCTCCTCTCCTCTCCTCTCCTCAAATGAAGTGAAGACTCAAACACACAAACAAAATTTGTTTTGCGTTTGCAGGCTAACTGACAATTTTTGCCGTTAATTAGCTTCCGTCATCTTCCCATCTACCCAATTTCATTTATTTTCTTCTCTCTCCTACAATTCGATCGGCTCCACTTATTGGCTCGGCGCGCTTCCACGACTCACCTAGCCTGTCCTGTTATCACTCTTCCCGCTTCTTTTTATTACATTTCAGTTTTGCCTCCTTACTTTTCTTATTATCTTATTTTTACCCCTTCTTTTTTTGTTAAGGAATTTTTCTCCCTCGCAAATTATAGTTTGACATATATTATACTCAATTATTATAATGCATTCAATCTAAACTCACGTGGCAATGAGCTAGAAGACCCCAAAAAAATAAAGTTTCTAATGTAGGATGGTTCAAACTCGGCAAAAACATTCAAATTTACTTGATACATACCGATTTCTAAACGGTGATGAAGACTTGAAATTTATCTTAAAACTTCATGTAAAATAAAAAAGTACGATTACTAAAAAAATGCAGTACAAATATCCAAAGCACATTCAAAAATCTTGTACAAAATAAGAAAATTACGTCGTTTATTTGAAATTAGGAATTCCTATTTACCTAACATTCGCAAATTTTAAAAGAAGGAATAACCATTTTCTCGTTATGACCAAAAATTAAAAGTATGATTGAGACATTTTTGTTCACTTATTGCCCCTTCCTATTTTCAGGTAGCAGCTGCCTGCAACCATTGAATTTTGGTCACCATTTTTCTTACAAACCTTGTTTTAATTTTTAATTTTTAATCTTTATTTTATATTTTATATTTATGGTATCACGAGGCAGCGAATGAAAGGACAAGAAAATTGAATTGAGTGCGGTGTGTCGCAGATTCAGAACGTGCCGCAGCCAGTACATTGTGTTACGCGGAATATCTTTCCTAAAGATATTTACCTCAACCACCCGCTGCAAATTACAAATCCCACGTTTCGAATTTACCTAAATACCCCTACTCTGCCCCCACTTCCTTCGTCCTTTCTCAGGGGCATTCTCGCTAACCAAAAATTGCTAATTGCTACGCGACCAGAACAGAACGGAACCAGTACAAAGCTTTCCAAAATTTTGTATTTTTATTTGTATTTGTTGCAAGTTTCAAAATATGTAGGCCCACTTGTCAATGCTATGCTGCAAATAGCCCTGTAGCTCTCTCTCTCTCTCTCTCTCGACTTAATTGTAACGGGAATAATATTGTTTTATTACAATCGGCCAATAATGTTATGTCATTTAAAAGTGTTATAATGTTTGTCATGACGATATTGACCGGATATGATAAAATAGTGTTATTCTCGTTTCGTGGAAATCTTTCTCGAAAGAGGGAGGTGGGCTTTTAGGGTAGGGCCAGCTAAGCTACCAGTTGAGTGCAGTGCAGGCAGCAAACAAATTTATGCAAAGTTGCTGTAGATTCCGCTGTTGCTTGAAATTAATTGTGAGGAAGATTTAAATTCTAGCTAGATTGTTTCAATCTTGGGTCCTTTTCTCTCGATTTCAACCTTTCATGCATCAGCTTTTTGGGTCCCTTGATGGAGAGAAGTTATCAAGATTTAGAATCTTATGATCAGTTGGCTCCTTCCTGCAACGTGTTAACGTATTGGGGGTTTCGGGGTTGACAAT